AAACTTAGAATGGCTCCTCCTACTTTATCATATGATTAATGCCAATTCCTTTAGGGTTAATATTTCACATTCAAGAAAGTACAACTATCATCTCAAGCATAAATAAATAAATAAAATGTTTAGAAATGTACTTCAGTCGAGGGGAGAAGGTGCAAATAACCACAATGGGGATTTCCAACATCTCCTTCCTTTTTACGTGTCTGTTCCAGAGCCACGTTTCAGGAAGCTCTGCCACCACAATGACCTAAAGAGCTCTGAACAGAATTGCATTTTCCCATCATAGTAAATTGGAATGGGAATGCCGGGAAAATGTGATCTCTGTGATTTCTAGAGATAAGCGATTGAATGATTGCAATAAATGAGATTCTGCACATTTCTTTGGTTGTCTAGATAGACCACTAAAATGAATGAATTGGCAAACAATGACAATAACAGCAAAAATGTGTATGTCCATGTGTGTGTGTGGTGGTAGTCCAAAAATTAAGATTTGTCTTGAGCCTTAAGCACTTGAAAGATGGAGACAGTTTAGAGCCTATTTTCTAAGACAATCTTGAAAAGGTCTCTCTGCTTTCCTCTGTAATGAAATGACATCATAAGCATCTTTTGTGGTCTTTGGGGCCAGGATAGAGGTGCATTAGGAGTACAAAACTGGTTGCTTTTGTGTTAGGCAAGAGTTGGAGCAGGACTATTTGCCATCCCTGTTTGTATCACCACCTATGATGCAACTCTGTCCAGAAATGGGAGGTAAGGGGAGGCTTTCCAGATGGGAATGGTTGTTTTTACTGATGTATTGTTTTCTGTTTTAAATCCAGAGTCTTATGAAATTGGATGGCCTCTAAGTATGCGTGTGCATGCATAAGTAAGTAAGTAAGTGAATAAGTAAATGGGCAAGGAAGCAAGTTTCCTATGAGTGCCATCACTGATGGAAAAAACCTTTTTCCTTTAAAATCCCGTGAGTGACAGTTTGAAAAAGCATAACGTCCCTCACATGTTCACAGGGCATACTTTTCTCATAGTCTAGTGCCAAGTGTGGCTAGTAAAAAAAGGCACTCAGAGTTGACTTCTGAGCTCCAACTGACCTCTGATTTCATGTTGTCCCCAAAAAGTGTGGCAACCTAATTTAGTTGATCAATGTTATGAATAGTTGATGCAGAAAAACGAAATGTATCTGTTTTGCCCTATCAGAGTTCAACTGCAGTGCCGAGCAGATAGCTAAAAGCCAAAATAGCTGATTACATTTGGAAGGCTGCTGTAATAGCCTGGAGTTGTTGTTTTTTACTGCTATGATGCAACATCTCTTCTGCTTTTACTGTAAATGATTATAGAACTTTGCATTCTGTATTATTCAGTAGATAATACAGCAACGATAAGACACCAAAATTTACCACAACATTACCACATTCACTTCAATGTAGTCAATTTAGAACATCTTTCGTAATTTTGGAGGCATACATGTTCCCATAGTATATGGGATAACTGGTGCTTTAGCTTTCAGTTCCTAGATTTATTTTTAGCCAGTTTGGCCAATAGTAAAATGTTTCTTCAGTGTCAAGAGAACAATGTCTGCCCCAATTCTTGTTAAAATAGAGGTGTGCTTGGTTGTCATGGGAACCTAACCTGTGGACCTTGCCTATGACATCATTGGAAATTAGCAATTCTTAATTGTCTGTAGATCCATATTTACTAAGTGTAATATAGACGTCAAACGAAAAAGGCAAAGCAGCCTGTTTTGCAAAGCTCCAAAGCATTTTACTTGAAAAAGGAAATAATTCAAATGTTTGTCCTTCTGCTGACATTTCTTCTTCCCATTGTTCCATTACTAGGGATGGATAAACTTATGGGCCTCCACATGTTGCCAGCAGCCCCCTTTCCAAGATTGCCAATAGCTGAAGGATACTGGCAGTTGCTGAACTACGCTACAGTGTCTTGAAAGTCACTGATATTGCCTTTTCCTGCACTTACAGTATATAGCTACTAGAATGACAGTTTGTTCAAGTAATGACAGAATTGTGGATATTACTCTCACGGTCTCCATAATTAAGCTGGTTGCAATACCTGTATTTAAGGTGATCATATTAAATACAGGTATTGCAACCTGCTTAATTGTAATTTAGAACTTAAATCTAAGTATTACAACCAGTGTAAAAGACACTAGGAAAGGATGCAGTGAATTGAGATGTATCCTATTTTGCTCACTGACAAGGTTATTTTCTTTTCAAAAAAAACATCTTGCATAATGAAATAACTGGTATTAGGACCACTAGGTATATGAAAGTACACCTTTTTGTCTACTAATGCACAAAAATATGATGCGAGAATATCCTAATCTGCATGTTGTTTCAAGTTCCATTGCATTATTCAGAGACTAAAAATCAAAAAAAGTAGAAACTGTGAAAGAAAACGCAGAAAACGCTTGCATTAAATTCCTTCTTCCCACTCCATAACCGAAAATTGCATTTAAGATTTTCTTTAAAAAAAATAATTGCCAGTTTGTGGATGTTACATCACATTTTCCATGCTTAGCACCTAACAAGACTTGACCTATTTATAAGAGATACACATATGTTGATTTATCAGATTCTACCAGGTTTTTTTTACCCATCACATGCCTTGGCATATGAATTAAAAAATAGTCACTATTAAGAAATAGCTTTTTCAATATGTTCATGGAAAAATGAAGCCTCATGGAGAAAAGCTTAGATGCAACCTGGATGGCATATAAAAGGGAACAATGTCTTTATAAATGCTAATATTAGCACCATATTACATTTCTTCTCTTAAACGCTCAACAAGGAGAAGACTGAGAAAATGAAATACAAGATGCGTCTGCTCTCAGAATGCAGGCATAGAAAAGTTCCCAAATTTTCCACAGCTGCATTTTGATGTATTTTTTTTATCAACAAGTGCTCTTTTCTTGGGCAATGTTTACATAGCCCAGAAAAAAAGTTCATGTGATCTTAGAATTATTGCTTTTAAAGAACAAATCAAGGTTATATTGGAAGCAAGAACCTAAGTTCTGATTTAGTTCTCCAACTGGGAAGTACATTGAATGAAAATGAAGTGACAGATTTACCAACTTCCACAGTCCCTTGCTAAA